TTGGACTGCAAGAGGAAATGGCTTGAGCAAGTCAAAAGACGGCACTAATTACTAGAGAGAAAAAACAGTGTCTCATATTGGGCAAAGAAAAATTGAAAAACTCCATTAGGTCAATACACTGTGTGAACTAAATTGAGGATAAAACTTTACCCATGGTATTTGGCTATTGTCTTCCCATAATCTCAACATTAGGTATGAAGTTCACTGGTTTCCGTGACCTCTGGTGTCAAATGGTGCAATCCAGGAACACCAGCTGATCATCTCTACCACAAGAAGGTTTCAGATCTCAGCTGTGCCAAAAATCACAGAGAATTACTGCAGTTAACACTTCTAGCCAGGGTCAACTTGAGTTCCAAAATTATATTCTGGCCACCTGATGCCTTCACGATGTAACAACTGTTCTGACATTCCCACAGTGTGACACAAATGGTTGACAGTGCACTAGGACAGACTTTTGCAAAACTGTAAAATCCTTCCTACTAAACCTACCAACAACATCATGATTTTAGAGTGCTATTCAAGAAACATCTCAAGAGAGAAATCTTCTGCCCTACAGAACTCATACAAAGTGGAGAAGACAGAAAACGAAGTGGACTGGCAGAGAAAGATGCTCATATAGGACAATACAAATGTCTTACTGCTTGTAACGGTACAGATCTCCTTTGGTGGTTTGCCATGACACAGAAATACACAAGAAGGTGCTTACCCAAAGCCAGCGGCAGCTGGTGCCGTTAAGTCCCAGCACTGTCTTCTAGAGATCGGCAAAGAGCAGGGCCAACATAGTCAGCAAAGGCCAAGTATGTGAAATTCAAAATGCCAAACCAAAGACCAAATGAATCCCAAACCATTAATTTTGGAAAGCCCTTTCTTTATAAGCCTCTTATGCTCCTCTATTCCTATTGTTCGCTAGAAATAGGATCACTCTCAGAAGTTTAATGCTGCATTAACAACAGCTTTTTCCATTTCAATTACCCCACTGTAGAGTGGGGAGTGAAAATGGAAAAAGTGTATTGGCCTTTCTGAAGCATATGAACTCTTCCTTTGCCAGAGAAGCCTGAGCTTATTTGGATCACCTTATAACCTTTTTTCCAAACCTGTTCAACATCCAAAACCAAATAACAAACACATAAAGTAACTTAGCCTAGCAGATACTTCAAGAAAAAATAAGTATTATCCCCAAACAATTGCACTTCAGGAAAAAAAAAACCCAAGGCTTCAGTTCAGAAAGGGCATCACAAGCCAAAGAGAGCTTTAACAAATGCCTAGGTTTAGTCATGTATTTTAATCCCGCTGATTTCACAGGGATTTAAATGTTGGCTTAATTTATGCATGCAGAACTTTTAAAGTGCTTTACTGAATATGGGCCAAAGGAAATGGATGCCTTTTGCAGCTTGTCCTTAAGAACCAGAATATTTCACTCAACATCAATGATTAAAACAGTTAAAGCAGTTCCTAAAGGCAGTGATACAGTAAGAAAATGCCTTTCCATTCACCATTCCCTTTTTAAGTAGGGCTCAGAACGATAAAGTTTTCTTCCACATGCCCTACTGCCACAGGTAGAGTTTTGTCAGATGATTTGCGCAGGTCCCTCTCCAATCTCTACAGTTCTGTGATGTTCTCTTCACCATGTTCAAATATAGTTACGATTCCAGCATCTTAGGCATAGATCCTCAAAGGTTAATCAGTTCCTACCTAGGCTGACAAAGACTGTGTACCATTGGACCATGCACTAAACTTGGGAACTAATCAAGGTATGTTAGAGCTCTCTAGTAGCAGGAAATTCACTGAACGCTGACCAGCTGCCCCACTGTAATACACCAGCTGACTGCCCACAGTTAGTTTTAAATCATGCCGGGAGACAGCTACTCACACATCAGCACTGCTGCTCCTGGAAGCCCTTCCCGTGCCATGGAGCGCGCCTGCAAATAGACAAGCAAATACAGTCAGTGAGTTCCCCTGCCTTTCTCTGGACAACTTTTAAGGTTTAATAATTGGATTCTTTCTCTATCCACCTTTCTAAAGGAAATTGTCTAAATATTACTGAAACCCGCTTGGATACCTTTGCGAAGTGATGGAGAAGGATCATTTAGGTTTAGCCAGCAGTACAGTTGGGATGTCAGAAGCTAGAAGGCACATAAACTTGCAAAAAAAAAAAAAAAAAAAATTCTAAGTGCATAGTTTGAGAAACCTGTACAGGCCCAGGGTGCAGATATGTTTAACTTGAGCTGAAGCTCATGATTCAGATCTCCCCTTCTTTTTTGTTAAGGAAACTATTTTATTATATGCATTGTTTTAATACAGTTTGGGGGTTTTTAAACTGGGAGGAGTAGAAGAATATAGCAACTACATATGCACAGATATATCATTTTGTGGACAACAGTTTATTACAGAGTAAGAAACAAAATAAGCTTTTATACAAATTAGAAAACTGTGACAAAGTATCAGCTAAATATTACAGTACTAGACCATGTCTCAAGCTATAATTTTTGATTTATAAGTCAATTACACAGGATAATTAACGCACAGGTCCATCTCATTCATCAATAAATATTTCACTATTTAATACCCTCCAAAGAAGAAAGTCAGAAACTCAAGGTCATTTGCAGATTACTTCAAGCATGGCTGTCATTTTGGAAATAACTACATTAAAATCCATGTACAAATATCTACCTTTCAGCACAGATGAATTTGAAGATCAACAGATGTAGTTAATGATGCATTAACATTCCCATCTGAAACTTGTTATGACCGCATGTACAGCACCTCCCTCAGCGTCCAGCCAACGTTGTAAGACTACCAGATCCCACCAGAAGGGTGGATCTCAACTGAAGATTTAAACTGGTTTGTCAACCATGTCAATGAGATTCAATTATTTTAATTTTTTGCTACATACTTAATGAAAAGCACTACGATAATTTTTCTAAAGTAAAAAATTATTTCATGATGGGGATCTTAATTAAAGCAATACTGCTTATCAATATTACCTGGGCAGGAAAGGCTACTACCCATATCTGAAAATTCCCTTGAATTTTAATTACCTCACACCCCGATATTTTCATGCTTTCAAAGCATCAAGACTTTTTAAGACCTAATAAAACTGATTCAGTGTTCTCGCACTTGTCCCCAGATACACATAAGCAAGTCACAGATTCTTCAGTATTTTGAAACAAAACCAAACATTAAAAAAATCGGTGTCTTTTTGACCAAACTATTCAATCCGAATATGCAAAACAGTTTAGTGAGCAAAATTGCCCCTTCCCAAAGACAGATCAAAAAATTTTGCAATGTCTAAAAGGTTTGGCAGCTAGCCCAAGCTAGGTCTATCAGTTCCCTTTGGTCAACAAAGCAATAAAGCACTATATGAAAGGAGCTCATTTGCCTTTTAGTAGAGGATCAACTGTCTTCTGAAGGTGGCTATGCCTCCACCTCTAATAGTGAGATTCTGGGGTTCAGAGGCTAAAGGACCTAGGAGACTAGTTTATAGAGAGATGAACTCCACCTTTGAGCTTCGGAGCAAATGCACGCATGTAAGGCTATATATGAAGAGTCAGGTTGTGACATGAAGCAAGCGTCCCTCACCTTTGGCAGACTGCATTTAAAGTTGCTTTATCTTTTATAAGTTTGTGTGTGCTGGCATCTTTATTTTGGATTTTCACAGTTTTAGGGTAGACTGTTAGCATTTTTATTTGAATGAATATAAATTCATTTGGCCTGGAAAACAACTGAGTAGGGTTTTGTTTGTTTGTTTGTTTAAAATCACCACAGAAAAGTAATGGCTGGTGTTCAGGAACACCATCCTGGTACTTCAGCCTGAAGAACCCCAAAGTTTTCACTCATCTTGCCCATTCATTTTTAGCCTTCAGCATGTCTTACTGCGTGACTAACTCTACAATACTTTGCTTGCTATGAACAGGCACTTTTTCCTCATATTTCCATTTACTGTTCTTGCAGAACATGAAAAGACCACCTTTCCAGAAATAAGATCAGTAAAAGTCTTGTATGTTACATAAGAGAAAGATTATCATAATAAGAACAATCCACCACAGTATGAATCTGACTTTGCTCCCTCTGATGATTTGCAATCTAGTTCTCTTAAAAAAAAAAGAAAAAGTTATAATGTTAGTTTACTAGCTCAGTTCAGATTTTATTTTCCTTGCACAGTTCTTCATCTATCTGTCAGTTGCTGCCAGACATTGGACATCTGACCATGAGAGAGGAGAATACAGTCAAAGCTGATTATTAGCTACATCCAAGGGACTGGAATGTCAGTGACCGATCCTAATACATACATATGAGGAAGGAAAGAAACTGAAAAGCTTGAAGCAGACATATTCTTAACACTGGAATATTAGAACACTGTATTAAAACACATCTTCACTTCTGTAAAAGCTCCCTCTTTGCTCAGTTCATTTACATTATGTGTCATATACTCAGTAGGAGGCTGTTACAACATGTATAAACACATAAAACCTTATTTTAATGCAGTATGTAAAAAGAAATCCCTGGATATTGAACAACTGAAACAGAAAGATGGAAGAGAGAAAGGTGTATTTATCATTTTGGGGCTAATGGATTTTTTAAAATCATGTTAAATCATAGAGGACATGGAAATTCATTTTCCTGCTTAATTCTGTCAACATTTTTTCCTCTGACAGCTATGCATGTTTATCTTGTTTTTGTATAGGATGAGCAATTCCTCTCTGAAAACAGATTTATGAAACATACATCTACAGTAAATCCTACAACTCTGTTGGTACTGGAGAAGTAGCTGGGAAGATCCAAGGCTTTACTATCTCAAGAGAAACTTTGACACCACAGCCAGGCTTTTATGCATTCATCCCCTAACAGAAACAGTCAGCTTCCTCCCAGAAATGCATGATTGCCTCTGTTTGTTAGCTGCTTGATTGCCAGAGAATGGAATAGGAAACTCTGAGGAGTTCGAGTTTTTCCCTGTATCAAATGTCAAATGGTGGTGGTGGTGGGGGGAATCACGTCTTTTTCATTCCTAAATGTATCAGTCCAGTTTTGTCTCTTTGGATCTGAAAAATTTTCATCACAACCTCATTCCCAGTACCACCTCTAGACTCTCCAATCCCTTTGTCCAGAAGCCCCCAAACTCCAGGAGACGGATAAGCAGTGTGGAAGGTCCCCTATTCAAGAATGATACTGTGGTCTATTCCAAACACATCACAGCTACTGCTGTTTAGAGAATCTGAGGTTGTCAGAGAGAAGGAATTCCAGTTCAACAGTATCATCAGTGGTCTCTACTGGTACATTACTCTTTTCCACAGGGGGGGAGTAATTCCGTACTTCATGTCTTGAAGCTAATATCCTTGAAGTCCCATTGCAAGAACATGCCTCTGGTTGTCTGATGTTGTCTGAGCAAATACGGTTTGGATGGTAAACGCCTGGACAGGAATTTGGTTGGCAATGACTAGGGACATAGTATTTAGTTGCCACCGGACTTGATTCTATTTGATGATGAAAAGGATTATTAGCCACACAACAAGTCTGGAGACAGTTATTTTTGAATCCATGATGAAGGCCTAATTTAGCAATAAGGGGCTTCCCAACATTAACTTCCTTTCTTTCATCCATTGTATCTTCTATTCCTGGATACTCATAGTGCAAGCACACAGTGAAGATCAAGTGCTCCTGCAAAAAAGGAAAGGGGGGTGGGTGGGTGGGGAATTGAAAGAAAAAAAACAGTTATGCTTCCTCCCCAAATAAACAACATAGGAAACACTTGAGGAGGCATAGTCTACTGGAGAAGGAGACTAACCTTTTTAGGAGCTAAAGACACATATTAGGCAACACTTGTTTAGTAAGGATGTCTTTTGGTTAATACTTGCTTACCTGATAGTATTTATTTCTAGAAGCACTTATATTAACACCAGCTGCCAAAAGCACTGAAGAAGAGGTATCAAGCGATGCCCAGCACACAAGTTCATGACACAAAGATACAGAGATAAACTTAACAGTGCCACAGTATGTTGAAGTGAGAACCTTTCAAAAACTGCATGCCCAAGAGCACAGGTTGGAATGGAAGGAGATGATATGTAACGTTTTCATCTCCTACGAATGACTTTGTAAGATGCAGCTCTGCTACAGGTCACATTCTTGTACTATAGGGAACAGGAACATCCCCACAGTGTGCAATAGCTTATCTTCACAAAAATAATCATCTTGTCAAAGTTCAGTACGGGCCTAGAAAATACCAAGTTCCTTGCACAACGGTATCAGTCCTGCATATGCATTGATTCCCTGGCTTTTATCTTTCAGCTAAGAAACTAAAATTACTAAATTGCGCTATTAGCAATTTTTTCCCTCCAATTATTATATAGACAATACACAGCTACCTCAACAGAACTGCAAAGCAACATGATTAATCTAAATTATCTGAACAAACTTGTGGGGAATAATATATATTAACCCTTAGTTTTTGCAGTGAACTTAGCCTGGTGTAGAGGCAGTGTTTGGGAAGGTCCTTTGATACTAAATAGCTTCCGGTTTCCTCAGGAGTTCCTTTATTGGCCTCTTTAGGATCCACATCCAGGTCCTGTTGCAAGAAAAAAATGAAAACTTAACTGAAGGTACAGAATTTGTACATCATAAAATAGTTAGCAGTATTTCTTTTTATAAAGTCAGCATTTTCTTCTTAAAAAGAAAGAAACCATCAATCTTGGATTACTTGCAAAGGCTGCTGAAATCACTGTTAGTCACAGGCAGAAGGGGTTACATTTGAGGTTACCCTCTTTTGCTGATGGTTCCTGTCAAACTTGACGTGCTTGCTTCAGGGTTGCTCTTTTTTACCTAACTTCTACTATGAAGTACGGTATTACAACACTAATTCTGTGGGCTAAAAATACATGTATTTATTATGCACATTAACTCAAATATTTTATTCATAAAGCATCAGGAGTGTCCTGTTCGTTCTATCTAAAAAGGTTTTCTGCCCCATGTCCTCTTTCATTGACATCAGAAAAGAAGTTTTTTTGCCCCAAGGAGCCTTCTGTTTTACTCGTATCCTTCACTTTACTGTGATCAGCTGAGTAACATCAATGGAACTGGACAGGATCACCCAGGTGCACAGAACTGTAAAACTAAAGCCTAAGAAACCTTGTCCTGCAAGGTAGATGTGCCCTCAGCTCACATAGGAGCTACTGACATTTAACATCTTCAATTAAATGTAACAAATACTTGATATTAGAAAATGAAAAACAAAGGAGACTTTGAAAAAGATGACCCCAGATTCATTTTAATGTATTTTTATATATATTAAAAAATATGCATTAAAAAAAAAGTAAATGTGTGTCTGTACAGACACACACATGTAAGCACCTGATTTCAACAGTTTAGACCCATTTTGTTACAAAAGATGCAGTTTGACATGGACAGACCAGACAGTTTTCAACTTCAGTGGAGGTAGATCACCGAGACACCAATAGGAAGCACTTACAAGTGCGAAGTCTGTAACGTAGGCTCTGCAAACTACTATTTCAGGTGGCTTCTTTACTATTCGTGTGTAGATTATCATGACATTGGAAAACTCGGCTGCAAACCCCAACTGAATCTGAACACCACATTTGAATTCAAGATACATACTTTCTGGAAGCTCTGCAAATAAATAACACATCATTACATTCTAAATAAAACTTCGCATATGTATTTTCTATTTTTTTCTTTTTTTTTTTTAATTCAAAAGTTTTAAAAGGTATAGACCTCTTCCTCCTGCCCTCCCTCTACCTATCACTTACATATTTACACTGAAGCAAACCAGGTTAGAAGCTAACTAGGCAGCAATACTGTCTGCTAGTATCACACAGTAACTGGCAGACACTGCCAGAGAGAGCTGACTCAACTTCTGCTTCGCAGGTTTCTTTCCAAACTCTGTGCAACTAGCAAGGCAACATTTACTGTAACTAGGATATAGCTTACTGACCCAAGAATTTGTTTACGTATCTGTAATCAAACCAGAAAGGTTAATATGGTATATATCCAGTATATAGGACACACAGCTATAGCATTATAAGAACCTTTGAGTTTGATAGCAGAACAAGTTTCAGGTTCATTTTTTTCCTTTCACAGGCTATGCACATATTCTAGCCCGCAGCATTTTTCTTCTTTATATCTTGGATCTTTCGCAATCCGTAGGAATGTATCTAAATGTGCTCAAGGGTCAATGACATCATTCTGTGTCTGTATGCTTTGTACTGATTTTTCTACTCCCACTGGAAGTGGAATATTTAACATTATCATAGACACACCTTTATATAAATATAAAGGTTATTCTCTTCCCAAATTCCAAACACATTCTCTTCTATGCATGGCTTGAAACAAATAAACCATAAGATAACATTATGTGTTTATAATTTTTGTCTTGCATTTCAATCATTTAACAAACAAGAATTAAGGGCTTGATTCCACAAATAAAAATCTACATCTGTGAAAGAGTCTGACTACACGACTAGTTGTCTTGAAAATGCCACCCCTGACCCTCTACCCAATCTGTCAAAGAAATTTTAAAATGTACTCCCAACATATTTAGGTGAAAAAGATAAAAAGGTCTTAAACCCCACTACCCTTCTTAAAAGAGGTCTAGAAAGCCTGGAACTGATTTCACCCTTATTTTAGTTTTCTTAGTTATATACACTGAAAACTCCTTTTCATCATGCACTTTTACCATACAGCTCAAGTGGCTATTATAGGCGATGACTTTAGAATGAGATTAATGATGTCTTAAAAGTGTCATTGTTAGACACAAACAGATTACTAGGAGATTATTCCAGGAGGCAGACATCATCTAAGTCTCCCCTATAGTGTTTGACTCGTCTTAAATATACTTACTCAGGATGAATTCTGCATGTCACCTTGTTCATTATAATCTCATGTATAGGTAAACCCCAACACAAATATTTCCAAGATCTGAACATACTAATGAAAATTCAGATATGAACTTGAATTTCTTCCATTTCTGTTCAATATCACAACCCACAGACTAGAGATTATTAAGGAAGGACATCCTCTTATTTTTCCCATCGTGCCGGTAGGATCATCTAAAAGTAGACTGTACTATACCATGAGCTTTGGCCCACTGTAGGTTCCGCGCCAGAGACTCTGCAGAAGATACGGTTTGTTGAATGGGATCAGTTAATGCCCTTTTCTCAGACAAACTGCTGCGGATCTCCAAAGCTTGCTTGCCTTTGGTAAGGTGACACTTGCCCATATCTAAAAATAAGATGCATATAGTTTCTCTCAAAATCAATGCTGCTGAAATTCTAATTAAATTAAGTACATCACTGCAACGTTGTCTGGTTGCTGTGGTTATGCCAGTGTTGGTACTTCCATAAAAACTTGCAGTTTCAGAAGTATTCATTGCTCAGTTATTCATTCACTTAAGGCTAAAACAGCATGCCAGATGCCTGCAGAGAATCCTGAGGGTTTTGCATGTGTCCTAGTCAACGTGCTCACGTTTTTCAAAACCAGTTCAAGCAATATCACAGCTCTGAATCAGTAAGGTCCTAATTAAAGTGACTAATTTCAAGAACGTGAATAATACCACTGGAGGGGATTTCTAAAGAATTGGAGGCAAGTGGAGTATTTTAGGGGTCAATAAAGGGGCCAATATTGTTTATTTATCATCATCACTAACGACCTGGATGACAGGACAGAGTGCACCCTCAGCAAGTTTGCAGATGATTAAAAACTGAGAGGAGTAGCTGATACACCAGAGGGTTGTACTGCCATTCAGAGGGACCTGTACAGGCTGTAGAATTGGGCAGAGAGCAATTTCATGCAGTTCAACAATGGGAAACACTGAGTCCTGCACCTGGGCAGGAATAACCCCGTGTACCAGTACAGAAGGGACTGACTCACTAGAAAGCAGCTCTGCAAAGAAGGACCTTGGGGACCTGGTGGACACCACATTGATCATGAGCCAGCAATGCATTCTTGTGGCAAAGGCAGCCAACAGGAATACCGTTGCCAGCAGGCCAAGGGAGGTGATCCTTCCTCTCTTGTCAGCACTGGTGAGGCCACATCTGGAGTGCTGGGTCCAGTGCTGGGCTCACCAGTAGAAGAACGACATGTACATACTGGAGAGAGTGCAGTGAAGGGTCACAGAGATGAGGGGCCTGGAACACCTCTCGTATGAGAGAGTATGAGGGAACTGAAGCATCTTTTGTATGAGTAGATGCTAAGCGTGCTGAGACTGTTTAGACTGGAGAGAACGTGGCTCAGGTGACTTCTTATCAATATGTATAAATAGTTGATGAGGGAAAGTAAAACAGACAGAGCCAGACTCTTCTCAGTTAAGTGTGACAGTACAAGAGGAAGCAGATGCAAACTGAAATAGAGAAAATTCCATTTAACCATAAGAAACAACTTTTTTACTCTAAGCGTGATCAAACACTGGGACAGGTTGTGCAGGGAGACTTGTGGAGTCTTCATCCTTGGAGACGTTCAAAATGCACATGGACAAGGTTGTGAGCAACCATCTCTAGTTTACTCTACTTTGAGCAACAGGGTTGGACTTGACAATCTCCAGAGGTCCTTTCCAACTTTAACCAGTCTGCGATTCAAACTTACTCCAATTTATTAGGGTCTCCCTATATTTAGTTCAATTACATTTAAAGGTGACATTTTCAGATAGTTTTGCTGCATGCAGAAACTCAAAACCTATGGCCTGCAAAGCGAATTAAAAAAAAAATCCTGGAAAATTTCCATTTACGAGTTCATTAAAAAAATGAAATAATGAAGGCTATTTACATGGAACACTTTTAACTTGAACACTCCTTTAGAACATTTTCAAGTGTCATCAGTGCACCAATGTACTCACTAACACCCAATATCGGGTAACACTGACAACAAAACACCCAATATTTAGCAATACTGACAACAATCGTTGTCATGTTACCTGACAAATCAATCTTTCTCTCCACTCTGTGTTCAAGAATGAGATAAGTAATAGGTCACATGTCAGAACATCTACAGCATGTGACATTAACCTGGCACTACAGACAAAACAATAAGAGTCAGTCGTATTTTACAGGACATTGCAGGAAGTGTAAGGAAAGTGGGTGCCGGCAGAATTGTGACATGTTCTTATGGGGAAGCCACAAAGGTGGGGGGAAGAGGAGAGAGAAATCTCAGAGAATACTAACCCACTTAAGAACACCCAAAAGCAATGACAAAAAGGATGAGGGGAGGAAGAGAGTGAGAATATTTTTGGGTATTTGTTCATTATAAAATTTGTAAACTTATGCAAGTTGAAAGACTGGTTGGTCTGTGACCATTGCAGAATACACGTGGGTGTCTGTTCTACTCCTACTCCTGCTTTGAACAGGCTGACAATGGGAGAACGCGGGATAAAAACTAAAGACGTAGTATATAAATAAACTACAGACATAGTATTGATGCTAGGATGAGTGGATTACAGGGTTCTCTTTTCACAAAACAGTAACAGTCAGAATGTCCCAGAAGGCAAGAAAGATGAAGGAAAGGGAATATATTTGGGCCTGCTTCAAAACAGCGTTTCAGGAACAATGGTTTAATGAATTTGGGCCTAAATACAGCAGCTGGTGAGCATCCAGCAGGAGGAGCTTTATCAGAGCTTCTCCCAGGCTTTCAGGAAACACAGCTATAGCTAGCTGCAAATGAGAGGACAGCAAGTCCTCAAATTCCTCCTTTGTATTTAGGTAATGGCAAAATTGAGTAGCACTGTAAGCAAATAAAAAGCACAAATCTTAATGCGAAAAGCACTCTGCTTGACTACAGCTGGCAAAAGAAGAAAAACACATCAGCCTGTAAAAAAAAAATAAAAAAAAATCATCAATCAATTTCAGCCCTAGGCTTTGGAGTAATCATTTCAGTTTTAGCCTCTGCAGATCCTATTTCTTCAGGATAGTTCTGAGATCTGAAATTTTATTTAACTTTTCACAGAAACTTCATGGAAAGTTTAACAGGTAAGACTGAAAATACAGAATGGTAAGTTTGTTTTATGGGATCTAGTCAAACAGCACACTAACTATAAGCAAAAAGACAGAGAATATATATGAGAATATATACTAGACAAACAAGCAAACAGTAACCCAAGACCCATCACATTTCAGTTTACATCCTGGGGGTACGCTGGATTCCTATTGCCATCAATTTGACATAAATTCCATGCTTATATTTCAGCTAGTCAACCAATAATCTCTTCCCTTTCCTCAGTAGAGCACTGACACAAGCTCTGTTGGTTTAATCTTTGCATTTCATTTTCAACAGTCTGACCAGTTGACAGCAGAACTTTACCATGCATTTAGGATCCTCTTGGATTTTTTTCTGCTTTTTGGATCCCTATCAAAAGACAGACTGGGCAAAATTCTGAGACCTGCAGTTGCACTAAGTACACTGGACACCACAGCAGAACTTGGCTGATTCCGTACATTACGTACAAATAACAGACTCTTACGCAGACAGTTCTTTGTTAATGGCTGTATCTATTATCCTATGTTTTGAGCAAATGTTTACACAGAAGCAATACATTTTCCCTTAGCAGTTTTCACTTTAGCACTTCTTCCATCAATTATAAAAGACAATTAATTACTGAACCAGACATATTAAAACAGTGGATTGCCCTTTACAGTGCACTTATACCCTTTGATAGAGAGCAAATAATTATCATTGCTATAGCACACTTTGAGGTAGGTAGGACTCAGTTTAAACAAACGTGGAAGCGACTGGACTACCACTAGCAGCTAACACCACAAGACAGAAGAGTAATTTCTGTGGATGGATGTCCTGGTTTCGGCAGGGCTAGAGGTAATTTCCTTCTTAGTAGCTGGTACAGTGCTGAGTTTTGGATTTAGGACAAGAACAATGTTGATAACGCACTGATGATTTAGTTGTTGCTAGGTAATGCTTACACCAGTCAAGGACTTTTCAGCTTCCCATGCTCTACCGACTGAGAAGGCTGGAGGTGCACAAGAAGCTGGGAGGGGGCACAGCCAGGACAGCTGACCCAAACTGGCCAAAGGGACATTCCATACCATGGGACGTCATGCTCAGTACATAAACTGGGGAAAGCTGGCCGGGGGGGCCGCTGCTCCGGGACTAGCTGGGCATCAGTCGGCGGGTGGTGAGCAATTGCACTGTGCATCACTTGCTTTGTGTATTATTATTATTATTATTGCTATTATTATTTTATTTCAATTATTAAACTGTTTTTATCTCAACCCAAGAGTTTTTCTCACTTCTACTCTTCCAATTCTCTCCCCCATCCCACTGGGGGTGGTGGGTGGAGGAGTAAGCAAGCGACTGTGTGGTACTCAGTTGCTGACTGAGGTTAAACTACAACAATGTACAATTCAAAGCTGCATGCAGAAAGACACTCAGAACAAATAAGGTTCACTAAAAAGGAGAGTATAAAATTGATAACTATTAAAGCAGCTCAAATCCCTTTATAATATCATGATCTTTGTTAACGTGCTGCCCAGTAGCACCTGCTTCTTGATAAAAGCTGCTATTTTAACAAAATGCAACAAGAGCTTGAAGTAGTGTAACACATTCACCATGAGAAAAATGACATTTAAGCAAAGAAGTTTTTAGTAATGCAGGCTGAGAAGACTGTTAGTGCAGTAAGCTGGAGTTTACCTTCTGCAACCTCATCAAGCAGTACAGTAATCTTCTTGTCTTCTAACAAACGGTCCTTCAAGAACTTCATGAAGATTCCATTGGCCAACCCTGACTGCTGAATTTCAAAAGCTTCTGCTCCTTGGCACCTATGAGATCATCAATATCAGAAAAGGAAAAAAACACTGAAACATCTGCATGATTAAGATCAACATGAGGACAAGAGTAAAGTTATTTTGGGAATGGGGGAAAGAAACCCTACAATTTGAAAACCAGGTTGTGTCTAAGGCGAACCTGCTCTTCATGTTCATTTGCAAGCAACTCATTCTGGGAAGATTTCACTTACAATCAAGCCACAGACCAGAGCTGATGTAAAACTGTTTATATGAGGAGCTTAAATTTCTCACAGAAGACTTCATTAAAGCTCTTGACTACTTCTATTCAACAGCTTGTGCACTTGACTTGAAAACTGATAGACAGAGGTTATTTAGCTTTCTGCTTAAGTAACCTCTTCAAATAGTTTCAACTGCAATTGAAACTTTATTCTTTACACCCAGAATAAGAAACACAGGGGCCAATCCATATGCTACTCCTCCAATAATTCATTACTTTCTATTTCTAACACTTTTTTTTCCAGAAATTTAACTTGCATTAACAGAGGAGACACACGACCGAAGAGGGTACAGCATGTAGGTTATAGTTCATCAACTGCTCCACAGTACTTGACCTTCTGTACAAGCTCACAGTGCAGCAAGTACCATTAGGAACACACAGGACATAACTCCTCCTTCCCCATCAGCACAAAGAAACAGAACATTATGGGTCTGAGGGTAAAATTTGCTTTTTTCTTCTCTGTGTTTTTTTCATCTCTAATAAATAATACTTAGATGAGTAGAGCACTCCTACAAGTGACCATCAGAAAAAGATCAGGAACACTGTCCAGCGGTTTCTGGTTTGCTGAATGCAGTTCTCTCACTGGCATTACCCTATATCTGAATTGGAACGTTAAATACTGGGAATATGCATTTCCACAGTCAGTTGACTGTGGAATGATCAAAGAATGAAGTAAAAAAGATAGTATGAGGACACAGATATGGATATAAATTACTGTTCCTTTAACACCACAGTTGGTATTTTTCTGTAGAAGATCAGCTATACAATCTCAGTGGTCACTTCTGGCTTCAAAACCTCTATGGCATAGCAGAAGAAAAATTTCCTTACGTTGCATATCCAAAAACAATGTTGGCCGTAACCTTCAGAGCATCTAAGATAAGAATTGTGTCATCATATTCATTCCTGCAATAAATAGAAACACAAAAAAGTAAAATAATAATTTGAGAACTAGTAATGGTAACAAACTCTACAGTTGTTCAAAATACCGAAACGGCATAGTTCAGAAACATTAATTTTTTTCTCTCCTACAATTCTGGAATGAATCCTGACTGCTAAAAGATAAAAATCAGCATCATCAACACTCTTCATGAAAACAATGTAAAGACACAGTCAGATATCACGCATTACCCAAATGAGGGCATGCTGTATTAACCAATATAGAGTTTGGCTACATTCTCTTAAAAAATGATTTCTGATAACTAGCCATTTTAGGTTATAACAAAAACTATAAGATTTTAAATTTTTTTTTTATTTATTTATTTTCAAAACATGGTGTCTGCATAGTTAACATGAGGCTTATGCAGCAGTATTTTCTATTTGGACAGCAGATTGTGAAGCTGAATTGGTCGTTGGCATTTCATTAGCAGTGAAGTTTAGAGGCTCTACAAACACTAAAGTACTAGCAGCTTTCTATTATGAAACATTCCTTAGAGACCAATTTGCAGAAGTGCTGACTGAAGAGCTGATTTCAAGTGCAAGTTTAATCGGGCATAGTAGTCTCTTAACATGCAAAGAAAAATAGTACTTTGTTTAGAAAAATCTGATAAACCAGTTGATTTTTAAGCTCTAAATAAAGATACAACATCCCTAGCATAAAAGCAGTCCACGAAATCCATGCCTCTGAAGAGTTCTAAAATAAGCACTTCACTTGAGCCCTTCTATTAAATTAACATGCCTTTGATCATATGGATTCTCCTTCCTCCCTGTAATGAAGATGGTTAATGATGCAAGGGGAAAGGGGCATTTTTCATTTTTAAGATGCCTAATTTCACTTTTATCTAATAAGACTGACGCTTTATAACTGTTAAACAACAACAAAAAAAGAAGAAATAAATGTCATTCAAATCAAGAGGCATGTATCTGCCCATGGAAACAGAAAGTCTAATCGCCAGCTTCACATTTCCATCCAAGGCCAAAGGCAAAGTAAGATTATGAATGACTCCACAGTTAACTCTAAAAGCATTCAGGTGCAGGCTGTGAATTCTCAGAACCATGAACTTCACAAGTTGAACATGAATTCACAAATACAGTGAATTCTCAGCCTAGACTAAAGATTTCTCCTCAGCGTGAAGTCCAGCTTTCTCTCAAGATCCCTTGCTATTTCTCAAAGTGACTGTTCAGTTTTATTTGTTCATTTTTAAAATAGGCTTAGTTTCAATCTGTTGCTACAGTGAACAAACTGAACTTCACAGTTTGTTCCCAAAACTACAGTCATTATACCCTCTCCCTCTACCGTGAAGCAAAAACATCCCTCAAACATCTGTCAGTTCTCACTATTCATGAATTATGAGATTGTACCTTTTCCGACACATATCCAGTAGGAATACATTAAGTCCCGTCTCTTTTTCCTGCATTAGTTTGAGGATGTTCTGCACACACAGACAGTTTGCAGACCGGTAGGGACTTGGAGCATCAATAGGAACCATGAAACTGTTCCCATAGTTTTCGTAGCCGTGGCCAGCATAGTATAACAAACCTGAGAGTTCGAAATATATGTGACTGAAAACACAGTTCAACAGTACATTGGAACATTTCTATCAATTTTAGCATGGTCAAAAACTGCATGCACTATGTCCACCCTCCGTGTCTGTGGGAGGTTAAGATCACTCAAGCTACTCCAAGCAGTTTTTATATTGATATGCCTTTGTTAGTACAGGGAGGAAGGGGAGGTAGAGGGGGGGAACCATGTTAACATCAACTTCACAATACACAGACACAACAAATTTAAAAAAAAAACAAACACTCGTGCAATAGAATCAATTAGATATTTGCATCAAACACAAAGTTAAATACTCTTAAAATGCTTTAAGTAGAGTTATGACCTCTAACAGAAAGAATCTGTGTATGATATATAACTCACAGATAAGAACAAGGAAATGTGTCAACTATAAAACATCTTCTCCACATGTACAATTACAAAGCTTTGAGTAGCAGTGAGTCAGTGCAGATTTTACTGAACAGTTTGGATAGATTTTTTTTTTTTTTAAATGAGAGATGCTGTCATCTTTAAAATTATTCTCCTTTAAATTTTTTTTTTTTTTTTTTTACTTACCATTAATCGTTGGCAATTCTTAGAAGTACTTTAATTACAAAAAAATCAGAGGAAAACCTTGCTTGCACTATGAGAGTATTTTGCAAGTTTTTAGTTTTGCTGTTTCCTCTGTACAGTCAATTTCTCCATTTGTTTTTGTCTTTTTTTATAGGGAGGGATAAGAAATATTTTTACATAGGGGGGGAAGATTATGCTATGATCATGTTTGGTTTACAAAAGATTATCCTACAATCACCTCCCTCGTGTCAATACACAACAGTCTACAATATTTTAAGATTTAAAATCTTCAATAAAACATGCAATAGTTTTGTATAAAGAAAACATATAATGGAATTAAAAACAGCTTTTCTTCAACCCTGAAAAAGCGAACTGCAACCTAGGGCTTAGATTTTACTTATAAGAATAAAAATGTCAAATATGAAAGTCATATCAATTTGCAGTAAGATTAGATGATCTGAGCATTAATAACCTCCACTGCCATAAAATGCAGTTACCAGAAGCTTGTATGATTAAATGGAATTTTCCTATTGTCTGTTCCCAGTGTTGTTTTTGCTTATCTATGGCAAGTTCCATCTTCTAAACAGAATTTTTATTTATCTATACAAAGCAGTCTACGTGTCAGATCTTCAATTAGTATATAGTATTGCAGCTGAATAAAAGTCAACAGATATGACAATTTATGCTAACTAGAGATATGGTCTTCTTATGTCATTATTCTTACTAAAAATAGCTGTGAAATTTGTCACTACAAAACTTGAATATTCAGAAAAAAACCAAAATAAGCCTTATCCTAACATACTAAAATGATCTACATTTAAATCAGCTTGTGTAGGTAGGTATGCTAGATGTTTTTACCTTTTCATCACAGATAGCTATGACAAACGAAAATACTTCTCTCACACAGCCCTGCACTTTTTGTAAAGGAATACCAAGATATAACTATAGTCCTTCAAACTAAGCCTTTGGTTCTCTTTTACTTGTAAGCTCTCAAGTCATTAACAACTATGCCAAGACCTTGCAAACTGCTCCACTCAATCAACAGTGCGCAATTTCTTTTTATGGGAAACATGCATAGTCAAGATAAGCAGCCAGCAAGTGCATACAAGGTAAACTCCAGGATGCAAGGCTTCACTTAAACAAAGAGCCTAATGGTTGCTGATCTGCCAGAGTCTTGGAAAATGGCAACAGCTTTATTCAATTAAAAGTTAGATTTCTAAAGGGCACAGAATTTAAAGTGTATGATTAAAAACCTAAACAAATAAAGGTACTATTGGGCTATTTATAAGATTCCAATGGTTACCTGAGACCAGGTGGGTAGTTTCAAGAGAGTTAAAGATGAAGTTAAGCGTCAAGTGCATGACTCCATGTCAGGTCCTAAGTTAAAAGGAAATTCTTACATTTGATTTCCACAGAGTTTGGATCTGGACCTAAATCAAGGTTATATTTGAGATTATATACATCTGAGTGTATGTTAGATAAGTAATTGGACTGACTGAAGGAAACAAGCCTCTAATGTAAAGCACGATTTATGAGAGTATTTCCTCAATGAATAGAAGTATTTCAGAAATAACAACTACATTTCTTTTATATCCTTGGCAGATGACTGGGCTATGCTTATTTGATGAGTACCTGCAACAGTTAATATGTTGAGCTCAAGATCAGAAGTAAATCTCTGCATACCCAGAGTAAGTAGAGTAAACATGTTTGGAGGGCCTCATTAGACACTTTGACACAACAATTTTAAGTAGGCTCAAGTTCCTCGTAGACGTCAGCATTTAAGTGATATCTGCCTCTCTCTCTTGCTTTCTCTCGCTCTCTCTTTTTTTAAAAAGAAAGCAGCCTAAGTATTTTTAGCCTTTAAAACATATGGGTCTATGCTTTTACCCTTTGTGGAATACAGTATTAATTGCACCCTACATTTAGAACAACATAAATTAAGACATTAGAGGAGACAATCATCATCACTTTGTTTACTACTCCTGCTCTTAAGGAACAGTATCTGAAATGCCACTTTCCTGGCAGTAAACAAGAATTACACAATGTCATATTAGGCATCATGGATATGTTTAACAAGGACTAAGCAGAAGTAGCCACTATGCCTCTTCTATTTGGAGCTATGCCCACTAAAAATGCAATCAATCATTATCTATTTGTGCATTGACAGCATCTTTTATGTGCTTTAAGCCATTAATAGCCACTACCCAGAAAGAACAAAGGCACCATTTAAATTGAAGTAGTTATTGCCAAACACTACTGACAGAATGCTCTGCTTACCTTTCAGAAATATCAACCTGCAGTTATATTCTTCCAGCAAAAATATGCCTTTTAAGAGCTTTCATATAGTGCTGGTGAGAAACTCATTAAAGCCTTTCAGTACTTTATTTTCTAAATTCATGTCAACAGTTATAGAAAAAAATTGAGAAGGTGCAAGAATCTAAAAGCTCACTCAAATGTATAAGCACATCTATTTCCCAGGGAACAAAAAAAGAAAACTGCTATCAGAAAGTCTACTAAACTTTACTGCCATAATTAGTCTTCATGTCATGCAAGTTTTGGCTCTGACATAAATGCCCAAGTATCAGATCAGCCAGTTCTGCACAGACAGAGCATCAGGTAACACACCATTAGAAAAGGCATAGTAAGAAATAATCTGACATTGTGTTCCAAAAAAAGAATCAAATAATGTTTTCTTGGGTGGGCGTTACTATAGGAATTCTGCAATTTAAATAGGACAACTGGCAGAACTTTTTGGTCTCTGTTCTAAATAATTTCTGGAGTCATTTATGCAATCTTAGCTTTTAGAAAAATGACAGAAATAGTGGCAGTCAGCAGCAAACTCCTCAAAGCCCACAGGATAACTTTTCTTGCGCTCCACGCCACGTCATTCTAGGCCTTTTCCATGCAAGACATGAAGGTGCTTGCTCTGTGCATCGATTCCACCATGCCCTCCCCCAGCTAGCACACCACCAGTTCTGTCTTGTGCTTTGTCCCTCAAAATCAAGTTTATGCAAGACAAGGAATCCCAATATATGAGTAATCATCTAAGAATCAATGCATATCAGTAGTAGCAATGCATACCAGACCCGACTGGTTAGTCATTAGCCCAGCAGAAGGCACCTCCTGTGCAGTATGTGGAAGAGAGCTTAAAATTATTATTGATATTCTATTACAGGTATCTTATAATTGGATGTGTGACTCAAATAACAAAAAACATAATTAAAAAAATGTGTTAAACACACATCTTTTAGTATGCATACTTAGCTTAATTTGTCCTACTATAACTTAAACCAATACTGATGAGATGCTGCAGTACAATCATTAAAGTGATGCTGCAATTTAGATGTGCGTGCCTTGGATTTTTGTGGGGTATTATTTTTAAGTCTCAAGAATTTAAGGGGAAAAAAAAAAAAAAAAAGAGGGCTGCTGCCTGCTTAAGCAGCATAACCACTATTAAGCTTTCCATCTAATGTGCAAGGACACACAGAAAGAATAAATTTTATACACTATATTCAGACCTTCCACAGAGCTGTGAAACAATAGTTGTACCTGAGTTCTGCCCAAACAGGAATCTTAGTATTCAACTCAGTGAAAAGTCCTTTATTACTGACAACTGCAGAAAGTCAGAACCTGAAGTCCATAGCTCACCAATTCCTCAGTTAATGCCTTTCCTTAGCAAAGTATATTCCGCAAAGGATAATATGAATTCTTCTGTTTTATTTTACTTCTTCAAAGTGCATAGACATAGCTTAAGAGAACTACATTTTCATTTTACATAAACAAACTTCTTTTCAATTTGCTTTTTGAAGTAGAAATCCAGGTTTGCACAACTCTCACTCCCTGTCAAGGACATTATGAAAAACCCTGTGCTTGCCAGGTCAGTATCACAATAACTGAAAGGAACCAGCAATTCAAAATAAGTATTTCTACTCAACCTGAAAACTTGGCAAAAAAGAAGAGGGCAAAAAAGATTGCATCCAATCTGTTGACTGTTATGCCCTAACTCTAAAGCGAATGTTTTTCTCTTATTTCTGTACTGCATATTTTAGTTTGTAACATCTTCATGAGAGATATGCTTTGCTAGTATGTGCCACACTCCTGCCCCCCTCCCCCCCACCTGGTATCAGAGTGCCACTAACTGTAAAGGCAAAGGAAAGCACCCCTCTTCCTCTGCTCTCTACAGAGCTGGTGAGCGAGGACTAAGAGAGCAGAGCAGCCCCTCCCTTCCCCTTCCTCCAGAAGGACGGAAATCCAGAAGGAAAGAGCGTTCTGCAGACATCCAGTAGAAAGACAAGGGATGAACGGAAGGGTCCCACCAGCAAGTCCAGAACATATTTCATGCTGTACTTAGGGCTGTTCCCCACCTCCCCAAGAAATGCAACCCAGCAGTCTAAATATGCCAAGGGATTGGCCAGCCCTAACCAAATCATTAACTTGCAGGCACGGGGAAGGAAGGAGGACAACAGAATAGACATTTACAAAGAAGGTGTTTAAGAGGCCTCCTAAAAGCAGCAAGGACTGCTGCCCAAGACTACATGTAGTCTTGTATACTGCAGTTACACAGTTTTCAACTACTCTGCTACTAGCTCATTTCCATAATACACTAACACAGGTGGCACGACGCTATTCTTGCTCTTGTTTAAAAGACTACTATAAACTAGTACTAATGACTTCTTAGTACAAATGTGCGTCTTCTGCAGAGTGTGTTGTCAAATATGCTATACAGATGCAGCAGCTTTTAGCAGACAAACATGTCAGTACTATCAAACAAAAAAGTGCATTGCAGTTTTAGGCGTGGTTAAAGAAAAAAGTTCAAACATTTTATCTGTTCTAAAGAATAAAGAAACAATAACATTTTAACCAAAGTCAAAGAATATGATGGTGTGTGTTTTTAACTTTTCCCGTTCTACATACATGCTATTTACCATGAAGTTTGTTTTGCTATCACATATAGTGAGCTGGCAGAGGTAAATACCGGATGTTTGTGTACTTGATACACCACAAAACTGACCTACTTCAGAAGGGGTATCACATGTTCTTACCATATACTCCTTTGTCCAGGAGAAGTAAAAATTCATTCACTGCATTTCGCATCTCGGACTCAGTAAGATCCAGCAAAGAAACAACTTTGAAATCCAGCTGTCTTAGCAAATTGGTCAATTCATAGACATCTACCATTGGAGCCTTGAGTTGGGGGTGATTCCAGTAGCTCATATTTCCTATTAACAGAGCTACCTTGTCTGTTGCTGCAAAGACAAAGGACAAACAAAACCACAGCACATTTATATATTCCATGGGTTCAACACCTTTAAATTTAATTTCTTCTAAAGTGAAAATAGCATCCAATCTCACTTCAGGCACAATATTTTATATGATTTTAAAAGTCATCCTACATCAACAATACAGCTCAACTCTATTCTCATCCAAACCCCAAACATTTCAGCATGGTCTGACAGTCAACGTATCTGAACTGCGAGGCATCTCAGACTGGATATTCTGTCAAGTTTTCCCAAAAACCTCAAATTTTCTTATGCTTCTTAAAAAACAAACAAAAAACCACCACACACAAAAGACCACTTTCACATCTCCATCTCCCACGTCCCATCTCTCTAAAACACGGTACATTTAGGTGGAAACTTTTACAGGTTAGAAGTAAAAAAGTCTTTTTTCTGTTTGTTAACGTTTCTTTTTACTGTTGCTCTAATTAAAAACAATTATACAGAGATACGAGAAATTTACAGAACTCAGAGGGAAGTCTACTGATTTTCTCATAGTTTGAGATACATTCACTTTGATTTTAATAAAGTCATAAGTAATTCTTTAATAAGTAAACAAAGCAGCAATGAAAGGGGAAAAAAGTCACATTGACAGAAATGCTTTAGAGACCACTAGCCTGATTTTTATCCAAAAATTGCACACTAAGTTCAAGAAAGGCACTTATTCAAAGCAAGGCATTTCCTCCCTGGTTTGTTACTTCTCCTCTCCAATAGGGATTACTGTCCCACAGCTCTGGTGGCAAATGAGATCACATGAATGCCCCAAACCTGCTTCAGAGTCAGTACCCCTGCACAGCTAGATCCAGAAGAGAATCTCTGTCCATAGCCTCAATGTCTAACATTTCATCTCCTTCAAACAAGATGTTTTCAACACTTCTGCAGCTGGAAAACCTCCAAGGTCTTGAACAGTGTAAACTATTTCAAACAGCAGAGACTGAGTGACAGTGGCATACTGTCATTGAAAAACACTTTTAAAAGTACAAGCTTTCTAACTAATTTAGAAAAGATGAACCAGGACTGGGGAGCACTTACATTCCCTCTCACGCTGATGAGCCTGAAAGAGTGGTAAAATTTTGACAAAGGCCAGCAGCCTTTCCACCTGGTTTAGCACTGACAAGACAACATGCCTGACCATAGTCAAGTCTACCATGCAAATTTAAGAATGCAATTAAAAAAACCCAGCAACTATTCTTCATAACACACATATGCTATCCATCTATCTTTATAAGCTTCAGCTCAGGATCA